CTGCACTTTACTTCGCAAATAAAAGACAAGGATTACAAAGGTCAATGAGCACAGTTAATAGGCTTATCTCCTGCCGCTAGTTGCTTAATACCCATGGGTGCCTCTTCAATCCAATACTCGGTCAGCCTCCGCATGAGGAGCACGTTTTGCCAATTCATGAGTCATAGCGTTTCCTTCCCTACGAACATGCCGGTTTTGCAGAACAAAAAGGAGGACATACGTTGTTTACAATATGAGAGAACAGTGCCTAGAGCAGAGTGTACATTCGGGATTTCAGAGTTTAAGGCTGTTACTATGCTTGCACAATCAGTTTCCAGAATGACCTTTCCAAAAGACATCTCTAGTGCCCACTATAAAGCCTTGCGCAGACTACACACCTCAGCAATTTCAGCTTCAATAACCTCTGGCCCTTTACACACAAAAGCTGCCAGCAACTCACCAGAGGAACCACGAGCTACTGCACCCATACTACCCCATCCAAACTGCACGAGCAACCTGGCAAGATTTTAAACAGTGTACTGCTGACTCAACTTCCAAGTGACACATGGGACATTCAAAGTCTACATTTAATTTGCATGACTACGAATAAGATTGACCTTCGATGGGAGGATATCACAGTAGGCTTGCCAAAGGTATAATCTTATCTTTTCTAGAATATTCAACCTCCACAAGCAATGCCCTTGGAAACTCGAAGAGGAGCTTGATGGTTGTAATACTAAGGATTATTATTATTATTATTATTATTATTATTATTATTATTAATCCTTAGTATTATAAGCATCTAGCTTCTCTTCGAGTTTCCAAGGGCATTGCTTGTGGAGGTTGAATATTGTTGAATATTTCTAGAATATTCAACCTCCACAAGCAATGCCCTTGGAAACTTGAAGAGGAGCTTGATGGTTGTAATACTAAGGATTATTATTATTGTTATTATTATTATTATTATTATTATAAAGATTTAAATAAATTATTTAAGCTCTTAGTTGATGTATATGTGATAGGATTAAATTTGGCATTAAAATTATAATGAAGTGAGGAACTCAAGGACTAAACCTTATCATTAAAGCTTAGGGACTAAGTGGCAATATTTCATTTTTTAAAGAAACCCCAAATCAGATTGAGTTGGCAGTTTCATTTTTTCCTTCCTTCTTTCCGGGAAAACAGGATCGTCAACTTCCTCTCGCCTGCAAGGGGAACGTGGCTTAGGGATATGGTCATAGTAGACTAAATCCAAGGTAATTTGCCCTCTTAAACTCAGATTTAGATGATTAAAAGAATTGCGGGGTTGGAATTTAAAAGCTTTTCTCAATATTTGTTCATTAGGCCCTCATATGTCTCACAAATTCTTACCAAAAGAGAAGGAAAAGGCACCAATCGAGAGATGTTGTTCTCAGGCATAATTATAGGTAAATTAATTGTTCATGGTTGATGAAATATTTAGGAAATTTGGAATGAAGAGAATGGGTAGAAGCATGGTCAGGAGATTGATTTTACTGTAACAAATGGATTTTGGTATTGATAATAAAATTGTGAATTTGGGTGGTGGTGTGAAGAATTTTCAAGGGGGAAATTATTTATTAAGGTGGTTAATTTTTAATAGTGTGTATTGAAATGGTTGGATTTGAGAAAGAGGACGACAGTGGTATGGGTTATAGAATTATTTCAGTAAGTGCTTGATAAGTACAGGATAAACTTTTATCTAGTGGTTGAATTATGTTTATTTTGATGTTTATTTAAGTTTCAAATAATGTCATAACTCAAAATTTTTAAATTGAAATTTTTATTTTTATTTTAGTTTTTATCTTAATTAATATGTTTGTCTTTTACTTTCATTGTTAGGTTTGCAAGCAAAGGGAAATTTCATGAAGAAGTGGGAGAAGAAGAAAGAAAGGATTCAATTGAAGAAATCAAAAGTTGGGGGATGAAATTCTTTAAGCTATAAATATAGCCCATTAAAACCAAACCCAACCCAACACCAACCCATTTTAATTTAAAGCCTCAAACCCAAAAGCCCAAAAACCCAAAAAACCCAAAAAAAAAAACCCAAGCCCACCAATTACCCAAAACCCATTTAACCCAAACAAACCCAAAAAAAAAAAA